GTTATTCCTTCATGAAGGGACAGTTCCACATGGTGTCTTCACCTTGGTGAATGTTGGTGGACGGGCAAACAGCCCAGAATGGAAAGAGCCCATGTTACGTAAGTGATTTAAAATATCCTTCGGCTGGGACGCTCAGTGGTTGACAGGAAATTCTGCAAACAAATCCCTGTAAAATGACTGAACGATGACATGAATAAGAAGAAGATTAAATAACATCATGTTTAAAGAAACAGACATTTTGGCAACAAGAGAAAACCTGGTTTCCAGGTTGGACGGAGATCTGGTCCATGTGAAGTAGATTCTGAATACAGTCTGTATTTACACAGACACTTTATAATCAGAGACAACATGGAAGCTTTAAAAGAATAGGGGAAGTCAACACTGCAGACCTTTTGCCACTGGAGTGCAGTGTACAGCAGATTGAACTGTGTGTAGTAGTAAGATGTTTTGCTTCACTGAGAAGTTTCAAACAGTTAAACTCAGTGTTGACACGGGGACGCCCTCTGCTCCGGTTTCAAACAGCTAAAACATCCAGGTCACGTGATTGATGGACGAGGATTCTACCAGGAACAACTCCATGCTTCCTGACACGTTTTATTTATACACACAGGCTCGTTTGTCAGAGCAGGACAAGCGATGACAATCTCAAACCCTGTCTGTGCTGATCCTGGGATTAACTCGCTCATTCAGACTCGATCCCTCCTCACCTCAGCTGTTTTTCCTCAAACTGATCCGAGTGTCTTCATTCTGTCACTGTGAGGCAAAGCTCTCAGGAATTTCCAGTGAGTTGGGGAACGTCTTGTGATTCCCTGTGGAGCCCGGAGGCCTTTGGGGCTCAGCTGTGTGTGTGTGTAAACGGACCAGACGCGCAGAGCCGACTGCTGCGGAGCCAAAGCAACAGGTTGAGGGCTGAGCCAGCTGCTGACGGCAACAGGGTGTAGATGAAGTTAAAAAAAAAAGGAAACCACTCGGGAGTAGCTTCAGGTTATGTTTAATGACAAAGTGTTTTATCTTTTTTTCATTGTAATGGGAAAAAGAAAATCAAAGCAAATGCATCATTACAATAACTACTGTCTTTCCGCACCTTCATTTCCTATTCACATCAGGCCCTGCCATCAACAAAAGGGGTTTTTAAGAAAAAAACACAAACTCACAATTTCAGACGCTGCACAAACGAACACAGACCGAATCATGATGAAAAGATCAAAACAAAAAAAGTGCAGTATCTCTGCGACTGAAATGGAAATGACGAGAGAAAGGTCAACGCCCCAACACGGTCACTGCTGGTGGATAATGGGCCTTTTATCAGAGATGGCCGCACGCCATCGAGTCAGCCTGCAGGGTCACCACGTGTTACTATAACGCATCAGGCAGCTGCTGAAGAGTAAAGTCAGTTCTTACATCTTAAGCCTCCAGATCAAGTCCTGACACTGAAGTAAAAATGTTCTTTCAGTCGGATTTTTAGTCTTTTCTTGAAACTTTTGACACTGAAATGCTCTTTTTTTTTTAAAAAAAAGGGGACAAGGCAAAGTCCTTCACAACTGGAACTCAAATTCAAGTCAAAAGACATAGACAGCAGTTGCTCTCAGGATTTGAATTATGTCCTGAACAAGGCTGGTGGATTATAAACCTTATTTGAACCAGGTCTGGTCTACGGAAGGTGCAGCCTCAGAGATACTGCAGCGAAGTAGACGTCTGATATCAAGCTTAACGTTCACGCTGCGAGGACACGCCTCACCGGACATGCAGGCCGACTGCTGAGACAACCTTTCCTTCAGTCAGTTACAAGTTGAGGCATCACTAGAGGAAGACGAGACCGTCCGTCCAATCACTCAGTCTGATCCATTTATCATCGGCAGATTGATGAAGGATTTTATATTGAAATTTTGGCAAACAACGTGACGCAGTGTTAGGAAGCAGGGCTGGCTATTAATGGATCATTTTCACTTGATAATAAAACAAATAATAATCTTCTTAGATCTTGAAAGAACAATTCTAGTTTCTTACAAAATAAAAATCAGGCAAACAAATCATGAACTGTTCGGTTTATCTCAAGTTTTCAAGCTTTAAGGGACCAAATCTTTTCTAATGATTTAAAATCCAAATGAAAAGGAAACAGCTCAGTAACATCCAGCCCAACGTGGAGTAAAAGTACGACGGGAGCGAGCGGTCTGAAGTCGGACCAGACGTCTCACCTGACAAGCGACTGAAGCTTTTCTGGACCAAACGGCTCTGTTACCCAAAACCCAACCACACAATACTGTTAGTGTACACACTGAGAGGGACACACTGGATTCCAGTTTTTCTCACTTTGTCTGCAGAATCAAATCTATTTTAATTTCCGTCACAGAAAAGGTAA